ACAGACGGACTCGCAGTGGAATGGATGAGAAACCAGTTGTACTGGACTGATACGACAGATGATGTTATACGAGTATCAGACCTAGAGGGCAAAAATACCCGTATCTTAATTTCTTTAGGTCTTGATGAGCCTCGAGGGATTGTACTTGACCCTGAGCGCGGGTGAGCTGATGTTCATTGAAATATTAAAGTCGATGACGTCTACTGGTTCTTAATGTTTAGAAAAAAAACTAAATGAGTTCGCGAATCAGTCAGTCAGGCGGATTGAGAGAAAGACAGACGGTCGGTTTGTCAGTCAGTCAGCCAGTCATTCAGTCAGTTATCTAGTCGTTCAGCCAGTCAGTCACACAGTCATTCAGCCAAACTGACGCACAGTAAATCAGTAACCCAGCCAGTTGGTAAGTTGGTCTCTGAAACGGTTACTGACACAAAAGCCATGGGTTGGTATGCCATATGACCTATCGTTCAGTGATCCAATCACCTGGTGAGTCTCTTCGACTCTTGGCCATGTGCAATCATTCATTTATTAATTTATTCATTCATTCAGTCAGTCACTCATTTTGTCTGTAAGCCAGGCTGTCCGTCAGTCAATTAGTCAGTCAGCCATTCCCCAAGTTATTGAATTAGTCACAAAGCGAGGTATTTCTGCTTTCACGCAGTCGACTGCCCACCTTTAGCTCTGCCCGTTCAACCACAACCCAGGTTGATTCACTTATAGTTCTAATCGACATAAGACATCCCTATGCTACCATGATCTAGATGTAATTAACAAATCGACGTCAAATAAGACTATTCTTTCAGTGCATGAAGCATTACGTGACATGTTGACGCAAGCAGTGTTGTCTGTGCACGTATCTACAACGGCAAAATTGGCAAATCAGATTGCAACATTATTGCCACTTATGATAAAATGTTATTTCTTCATCGACAGTTCCATGTTCTGGACTGATTGGGGAGCTGCGCCAAAAATAGAAACAGCAGCATTAAATGGAACTGAGCGCATTACCCTGGTGAACACAAGTCTTCAATGGCCGAACGGCATCACTCTTGATAGGAAACGCATGCTCGTATTCTGGGTTGATTCCGGGACAGACACACTGGAGTCAATTAATTATGATGGCAACAACAGAACTTTGCTTTTCGTGAAAATCGATTTTCACCTTTTTGGAGTAACTTTTAATTCTCCCTATATATTCGTATCTGAATGGGATTACAAAAGTGTTTACAAAATGAACATTTCCAGTGGGACGATAGCTGGGACACATTATTTTGGCGGCCTAAACAAGATCATGGGAATTGTGCCGTTCGACAGCTCTTGGCAGCGGCGGGGTGAGTGCTCGTATCTCTTTGTTAGTACGTGCACTTAACCGGTCAATGTAGCGGACTGTTTTTCACTGTTCGCCCTGCTAAATTCAAAAGATTGCTTGATTTTCTTTCCCTTCTATTTGCACTCAGAGATACAATGAATATATTACTTACCTCGGTTTCTCGGTCCGCTCCGCAAGTAACACAGGAATAAACAACTTTTTACTGACATTTGAAAGTGAAAATCATCTCGAAAAGTTCACAATTAAATTACCGTGGAAATTGATTTAGTTGTTTTTGCTTTCTTACAACAATCACCTGTCCAGCGTTACCTTCACTAACAAATGGAATAAGACTTGGATGTTCGGGGAATGCAACTGAGTTTTTTGATACAGTCTGTCAGTTCACATGTAATGTTGGTTATGTAGGGTCTGGTTCTCCAAAAAGAAAATGTCAGCAGAATGGTACCTGGAGTGGACAAGAGTTTGTTTGTGAAAGTAAATCCTATCTCTTAATGGTGCTTGAAATAAAACATTTCAGTGAGCTCTGTATTTGCTTTATCTCGTGAATAGTGTCAGTAGATTAATTGTGGTAATCAGCATGGAACAAAATGTAACTTTTCTTGTCCTATTGGTTATCGTTTGAATGGATCATCAGTGATAACGTGTGTTGCCCCTGGTAACCAACATCCTGGAGTGTGGAACGACTCTGTACCGACCTGTGAAGGTGAATTCGAATTACCTACCAATGTTTACACTTTAAATATTCTGCAATTCATTCATCTCTTAATGATGATTGAAAATGTAACACTTTACTTTCTACAAACACGAAACAGCACACAATAACTAATAGGAATTGAAATTAAATGATGTCGGATGGCGAAGATATGCTTGTACTATTTGCATTCTCATTAAAAAAGTATTGTATTTCCATGGCAAAAAGGTACGCTATATGCCGTTCGCCCATGCCTCTTAGCAGAAAAATGTTATTAAATAATTGTATAGTATTTCTTATAAAACAGGATAGGTATGCATTTTACCTTTTTCAGTTGTGATGTGCCCTCTCCCGATGCCGCCAGCCAATAGTGTTCGACAAGGATGCTCTGGGAATGCAACAGAATACCCATATAGCACTGAGTGTCAGTTCTCCTGCATTGAGGGTTACACACCAAATGGTTCTAGCTTGAGAAAATGCCAAGACAACGGGCTCTGGAGCGGAGGGGGGGAATTTTATTGCGAGAGTAAGTTTGAAAAATATTTCAGACTCAATATGATTTTTGTCGAGAAATAAATTGAACGATACTCACTTTACCCGGAAAGAAAAGTGCTCAAATACATCTGGTGAACTGTGATATAGAAATGGTTTCAACAAGAGTCTTTCCTTAAGCGTCCGACACAGAAAAAAATTTAACAATGCGCCAAAGACTGTTTTTCTCGTAATTTCATTGTTTTTATTCTCTAGGAATACTATGTGAGTCTCTTCAACTTCCTCCCAGTATGAGAACGAACGGCTCTTGCAGCCCGTTACCTGGCAACGCTTGTCAGTTTACCTGCGAACGAGGCTTGAACTTGATTGGCTCAGCAGTCAGGTGGTGTGATAAAGATGGATCATGGACCGGCATGCAACCTCGATGTGAAGGTAAGTACGCAATATTAAACTTATTCATCGAAAATAAGAGCTAAAAAATCCAACCAAACAAAAACTTATCAATTATGTTATAGCTTTTTACTTTAAAAGGTTGATCGCATCCATTTACTTTCGTCCCTCAAATACTTCCTTTCCAATCCTCCACATGGAACTCTTGTGAACGCACTCACCAGAGCGGTTGAAAACATCCATCAACATCTTTTTTCAGTGATCGCCTGCCCAGTGTTATCACTACCGACCAATGGTGTACTCTTGGGATGTAACACCAATACGACGGAGATGTTATATGGCGCAGAATGCAGGTTCTCTTGTGAGGATGGATCTGTAGCAACTGGTTCAACAGTGAGGAGATGTACAGAAAATGCAACCTGGACTGGGATAGATCTTCAGTGTGCAGGTATAAGATCTGAGAACAATTGGAATCATGAAAATTTAAAAATTGATCATTAGAGAATTCTGCACATCATTTCGATTGGCGTTCTTGATCATGAAACGATTCAAGGTCAAAGTGTTTTATCAGTGATTCGCACAACGTTGCATCTTTTTTGTCTATGCCTATACGGTCCATGTTATCTATCGGTAAATGGATCATCGATGTACGATCGTAAAACGCAAGAATTCGACCATCGTGGATTGCCAGCCGATACAGGATCGTCAACAGATTTTATTGCTTGCAATTATCATAGATCGCTAGAGTGGATCAAAGTCGTTGCAATAGTATTTGTTGTGGCTCTTCAGTGGATTAAACTCATCCCTACATGGATGGATCAATCGATACACGATCGTAAAATGTAATGAGTTGACGATCTTAGATCACAAGCCGATAAAGGATCGTCGACTGGGATTCGCAATCATTGTAGATCGCTACAATCGATCTAAAATCGTTGCAGTTTTCCTTTTTATGGGTATGCAGTCCATCTAAATCGCTGCGGCAGTCTATGTTATAGTTTTGCAGTCGTTGTAATTTATTTGCAGATGGATGGATCGATCGATGTACGATTGTAGGACGCAATATTGTAACGATCATAGGATACGAGCCTACACAGGATCGTCAATACTTCGCAGTATTCTTTGTTATGTATACGCGGTCCATCAAATGCATCTGTACGTGAATCAGTCGATGCACTGTTGTGAACTGCAATGACTTGACGATTCTCGATCACCAGTCGATACAGGATTGTCCATAGTCTTATTTACAGTGCTTGTAGATCGCAATACTCGATCTACCATCTCTGTGTAATTACTATGTATTGCTTATGTCGATTGATCTTCTGCATCTGTGCATGAAACAATTGACCTACGATGAAAGAGCGTTTTTTGATTGTTGTTATGTGTTCAATGCCAATTATTGATACATTTCCCATTAATCAGTTTTCTTGATAATGTTGGTAACGAGTTTAAGGTGATACCGGTAGGTTTAACGGTATTCAATAGATGTTTAAAAAATTCTGATCTTCTGCTGAGCTTCTTTTCTTTTACAGCTTTATGCAGTTTTGGCGATATGTTGTTCATTTAGAAAACCACGAACTTTTAGGCAGGTGACGCAGTCTGACAAGAGAGGGAGAATTTCAAATGATTGTCAGTAAATGAACTGACAAAGTTATATCAAGGTAAGAGAACCCAGGATAAGATTTAATTTAACTCCCATCCGCATTTAGTGTTGTTACGCCTCAAAGCCGATTATATTTGAATTATTTGTATTTTTATTTGCGAATATTTATACAGGGAGCCCAGTTCAGCACTCAGCTGATTTAAATGTGTAACTCCCACCCATCCCACCCCAGGGGAAAACATCCATCACACAGTAATCTCGTGCGTGGGAAATTAACGTCTCCTACCCCTAACCCTGCAGAAGATAGGGCCTACGCTTTATTCGTCCTTATCCGAGAAGACTAAAATATCTATCCACTTCTTGATATTATAGAAAGGTAGGAAATTCTCTTCAGCTATTTTAAGACCATGAGTATTTGTACGGCCAGGGCTCGAACCCTCGACCTCCCGCACAACACAATCCGGCGCTCTAACCAATTGAGCTAAGCGGGAGGCGGTTTATTGATTGAGTAAATGAGTGCGGGCGTTCCTGATCTACTTACCACTAATGGCAGAAGATGCTTTTCTTTTATTTAACACTAAATCTTAACGTTATGAACAATATTGAGTAGTCAGAGGGATTTAATGAGAAAACTAAAAAGTATTGGTGCCCTTACCAAGACAAATTTCCCTAATTATCATACATTTTTTGGGTAAAATAAGCTCAACCCACCGCTTTGTGTTTCTCTCCATAGTGTTGCAGATATTTGATCAAACAAGCTTTATTTGAAACGGTTCGTTAAGATACATAAGGAAATTAATTTAATCTCGAGAACTCGCCACTTTATCAGAACTCCAAATTAATGTTTTGAACATTTGGAACAGTGCTCTGTCTACTGTGAACAACTTAACAAACAAATAGAAAAGTTCCCAACCTCTGCAAGCTAAAGCATGTTAATATCTACTTGGTGTTTTACTACCAAACGATTTTTTATTTTATCCGTTCGTTTAAAATTCAGTCCATTAATATTGTACGGACCTGTACTGTACCCGCCGTACGTTAAGAATCTTATTTCTACAGAAGTCTTTACAAACTCTATATCTCACATACCTTTTCTTTGGCAGTTTCGAGTTTACTGACATTTAGTATTCGTATACTGAATAGCGCCTTCGTATTCTTTCTAGTTCTCACAAGCTATCATGGTATGTATCTATGCCTGCAGTTTGATTTTAACTGCAGGTTTAGTTCTGAATTTCTGTTGCGACTTTTTTCCGGAAGTTTCTTGAACGTGTTATCGAATTTATTGTTTCTCAGTAATAAAAACTACTTCACACTACTTCAAATAGTTCTTGGCTAAGAGAGCTTAAAGTCAAACGCAACAGAATATCTCTGGGTTTTAAAAGTTTAGAAAAAAGTTCATCTACATCTATAGGAAAGTTACTTGGTGATAATTTAGGAACCCGACTTTCTGACATATCCGACAAAAAACCTCATGCAATCTCTGATCTCAAATATTTGAAAGAAAAACAGTCTTGTAAATATTGCAAATTCATGATATTTCAAACCACTTCCTTTCTTTTGAATACTTGAAAACTCTCGTTTGAGTATTGACGAAGAAGTCGCATGACGTTTTATCCTTTATTTGGGCCATAAATCAATAGTAAGGTGAACAATTTTCGCAGCTTTCATCATTTTTGTGCGTCATTAACGGATCACTGCATGAGATGCATCAAATAAGCAAGGTAGAATTAAAATTACAAGTTTCGATCGTGCCCAAAGCGAACCTTTCACACCAAATCTATATATAAATTTGCTTTCTTCTTTCTCTAAACCGAATTTGGTATCACAGATTGTGGTATTGAATAACATAATTGCGATACAGTTGACTTCCCAAATTGAAGGGTTATCAAGGGCTATCAAACAAAGTGCTTGAAGTCACTTGTATAGCAAGAATGATAATGAAGTGGTATGTCCAACTCTTAGATTTTCTGTGAAATGAATTATTTGTATCAACTTCTTGAAAAAACGAAAAGGACTCGAATGAGATGAAAAGGAAAGGAAAGGGAAGAACTATTTGAGAGCGAAGTATACTTAATGAAATATCAATGTATTTATTCCAAACCCTAACGAACAGGCCGTTATTCATCTAACAGCCCGGGGCATGCGCAAGCTGTTGAGATTTGCATGCATGATGAAATATGGCACGTTTATACGGAAACCATGCTAAGCTTTAACTTGAGTACACCACGAGGCTGAAACTATGAAAAGACTCGGAAATTTTTGTGAGAGTTTCATAACTTTCCAAATCCTTGCCGGTTTTCACAAGCTGTTTGGTTCCTCAGGTGAGCATGAATAGTGAGTGCGTGTGTGACCTGACTATAACGTCGCATTAACCGATTGTGTTATTATGATCTTGTTTGGTCGTACTCCTTACGTATGTAATCACGTTTCATACGTTAGTTGACACACTTCGGGGTAATCACGCTTTGCTAGTTATAATTACTTGTTGAAAACCATGCGAACCTGTTAAATAATACGAAGATATTTCCGTATTACTGCATATTATTATAAACAGAGCCTTAGTTCCTTAATAAAAGATAAGGTTCTTAAGAAACCCTAACAAGATTTTTATTAACAGCATGTATGGCGCGAGTTTGCATACTAGGCAGTCAAGTTATCAAGAACAGAAAATGTCACAGATAATGTGGCCCGAATGCCACGTTATTATGTGTTGGCGAGGAAAGGCTTTTGAATTGATCATTACTTGATTTCCATCAGAAACGTACGTATGTTATTGACCTTTAGATATGCAGTAGTCGCTGTTAGAGTTACATAACATTTGGCTCACATAAAGTCCAGAGGAACCATGAAATCTACCAAATATCTCAGTTACCATACGCTGTGGCCATTTTAGCAGACCGTTCTCTGCCGAACAGTCCGCTGAAACTATCTAGACGGAATTCTCAGAGAGCAGAGGGGTAGCTTTAACTCGGTTAAAGTGCAATTCGATCTTGTTAATGAGCCAATGATACACACGATCGCGTTACATTTACGCAAGACAATCAGATTAAGGTCATAATTTACTTGAAAGTTATATTTTTAGAAAATATGTGAGGTCAGATGATCAAAGAAAATGTAACTAAAACTTTTGAGGTGGTTTTTCATTGATCTACTCGAATGAGCTTCGAGGCTGAATTTTAAAAGTGTGTAATGTGTACATTTGTCAGTAATGTTGACAGGAGTGAGTGCAGGTTTATCTTACTTTCTAGTGATATAGTACTTGGCGAGAAACATTTATGCCATATCTTTGCGAAATTCTCAAGGATTTCGAGGACAAGATAAAGCTAACATACTAGTAATTATACTTCTTCGTAAGAGTTTCTTATTGTTTAACAAACAAAGTGATTCCTTAGTTCCTACGGACCAGGCGAAGAACATTACCGACTTTGCTTAATTAACGGCTCGAGGTAAAATATTCCTCGATCTTCTGTTATATTAATGATGTGTACATGTATGGCATGCATAAACTTGAACGAGATCACTATTTTGAAAGCTGTTCTGAGCGAGGGCTGTCTATTTTTCTAACGCTTTGTGATCAACTAAAATACGGAATGGATTTTTTTGTAACTAGAACGGTCCCACATTACAGGTGAGAAGCTTTTGAATTAGTCGCATGGGAAATTTAGGTTGAAAAAGAACAGAAGAGGTTTAACGGTGAACTTGTAGCACTAACTGGCCTCGCAAAGAGCCAACTGAATGAAAGCTAATGAATGCTCCTCAAGGTTGATTCCAACTTGTTTGATTTGTTTACTTTATATATGTGATTTTAAGCAGTTGAAATTCAAATCAGGTGATCTACAGCCGGGAATGGCGTGACATTAACTTCAAGGACCATCAAACCAATTGGAGCTGCAATCAGCAGTACACGTAAACAGTATTTTGCGCTTCTAGTTGATATTCACACCTCTCACGAAGTGCAAAGGGCGGAAAAGGGATATTAGAAATCACTTGCAATTTCAAACGGATTTCATGATGGAATATGAATGAAATTAAAAAAACTCTGCATGAGTGTAATTTAAGTATTATCTTAAAAGAATAAGCTATAGTTAGAACAAAACTTGAATGAAATTAAAAAATGACAGCAAGACCAAATTAGACAGCTATAATAGGAACTTTTAAAGTGAGAGGAAATGCAGCGCAGAAGTCACAGAAAACTTAATGAATTTTAAATCGCAAACTGCGTTAGCCGTTACAGACGTTTTCTCCAAATCTCAGTCAAATCGATTGAAAAAAACAATCAGCGAATATTATAAGTTAAAGCTGTTCCAATTACACAGCAATTTTGTTGCGAACTGGCGACAGGCTCTTCATTACTAGAGTAATAAACCCCTATAGAGTGCCAACTTGAAGAACGAGTGGAAAACCATATTTCTTTCCGGAGAAAACGTTCACAGGATAAGCTTCTACTTCTACTTCTACTTCTACTTTATTACTCTTCAACGCTATTACACATCAAGAAGAGATAAAAGATAAAAATATAAACGTAGCTAATAAAAATAATAAATAAATAAAATATGTAATTAACAATATAGCTATGCTTAAAAATAAAAACTTAGAAAAATTTTGTACCGCAAAAAGCTGAAAAGTTAAGTGATCTAGTTCCAGGTGATTAACAGTTCCATTCCCTTATAGATCTCGGAAAGAAACTGTACTTGTAGTAATCATGATGTACAGGTGGATGAATAAATGAATTCGTCGAGTAATTTCTAGTTTTCCTAATAGACAATTGATAATAAGACGGGATAGGCAAAGCAATACTATTGTTCGCAGATTTATGGAAAATTTGTAAACGATGGGATTTTCTTCTCTCGCTTAGTAAATCCAAAGATAGGGATTTCTTCAAATTGGACACGCTGGTGTTATAACTATAATCATGTTTAATAAATCTCACTGCGCGACTTTGGATAGCTTCTAGTTTCTCCACTTGATTCTGTCTATAAGGATCCCATACTGCAGACGCATACTCTAAATGTGGCCTGACAAGTGATACATATGCTGCACGTTTAGTTTCTTCACAGGAGGCATACAAGTTCCTTTTCACAAACGCAAGTGAAGAGTTCCCCTTTTTAGCAATCTTGTCCACATGAGAGTTCCACCGCAGATCACTGGACAGCAAAACACCTAAATAATGATGTTGTCGAACAGATACCAGGGTTTGGTTGTAAAGAGTGTAGTCTTTAACAACCGGGGATCTACTACGGAAAACAGATATTTTGTAGCATTTAGAAGGATTGAACTGCTCAGAATAAGCACATCATATCACCTTCTAGAAGCTCACTTAAGAGCTGGGATGATCGTGTTTCATGACGAGCTTTATGCGACTTTGAAATTCACAGCTGGGTATGCGTTCCAATTTCCGGGGTAGTGAAGAAAATCGAATTAGCAAAATTACAGATCTGTCATGACTGCACAGTTTGTGGTAGATGAAGGTGCCAAGTATATCTTGATGCGCTGTACAAATGAAAACCAGATCATGTATTCATAAATGGTTTGTTGTCGACTCTAATTACACTTAATATATAACAAAGTGCTTCGTCGGGCGTAATACAAAATACTTTGGCGCGAACGAGATATGGCAGCGGAGCTACATCCTCTTCGCCGAATTTTCGGACTGTCGCTCGATCCAGGCAAAATTTGGCATACTGTATCAAACGACTGGTTTTGTAAATCAAGAGAGTTCATGAGGAGTGATTGAGGACATTGCAGAAGTATGCGTCCGCGATCTGGTCGATGGAAATGGTGGACAAGTCGACCCACCGTGGGTTGGTTCGTCGCGAAAGAAGGACACTGTTATTGTTTCAGCCCTCTTCAGAATAATTAGAAGAGCGTTACGGCGAAAAAATTTCGTTGAATAGCTAGTGGTTGCTTCAGATCAATTTAGGTTGGTGAGGGAATTGTTAAATTCTCACCAGTTTAAATCAGAGATGGCGGGAAGATCGAATTTTCGCGGCAACTCAAGACAGCTTGGATCGCTTGGATTGGAGACGCCACTATCTACGCCTGCTACAGTAGCCGACACAGTGGTAGCGCCTGTCTCTTTTTCAGATATAAAGCGACCGCTTAAAGATTTGCAGAAGTTGGATAAATCGATAGGACCTCGTTTATTCATGAAACGAACTGGAAGACCTCTTACAGGTAAGGAAAATTTTTGGGTTATCTAAATGGCTGAATCTAAGATGAACATTTAAATCCACTTTTAATTTGTGCACATACACTGATGTACTACATTATGCTGCTGCTGATAATGATAACACTGTTTGTTTGTACTGCAGGGAGAGAAAAAGTGTTTGCTGGAATTGTTCCAATTGATTTAGCTATCACAACTGGCAAAGGGCTCTGTGGTTTTTAATAGAGTGCTAGCTCTGGCTGTTTATCCAATTGCAATTGCTGAGAAAAAGTTAGTAGAGTTTGATTTTGTTATACTGTGCATATAACTTCTTTATCATTCCCTATCACAGGTAATGGGTAACTGTTAATTGATAATCCAAACTCAAACGTAGAATTACTCTGGACTTTTTTTTTTTCAATTTTCTCAGGAGCAAACTGAAGAAGTTGATTGTTTGGCTAAATGAGGAGAATAAAGTTCCGGAAGAAGAGGGCTTCACTGTTGATGGTAAACATTACAAAGCTAACTTTAAAGGTTGCATTTCAGACTGGATTATGCTTCACATAAAAAATTACTTTTAATTAACCTTTTCAGGTCTAGGTATATCATTAAAATTAATTTTTGTAAATTATTATTTTACTTTTATTTTTTTCTTAGTTACATTTGACTATACATGCTTCTTGAATAAGTCAATGAAGAAAATTTTGTGCTAGCTGGGCATGGACTCAGTGTTGAACTCTGTTTGTTATGTCATGAATTAAGGGTAATTTGAACATTCTTTTCCGAAAAAAAAAAAAAAACAAACAGATAAAACAAACAAAACTTGGGGCTAAGCAGTGTCAATGTTTCTAGAAAACAGGCATCCCCATATCCCCTTCAGAAGGTTTTTGGTGTGAGCCACCTACCCTTGGAATATCCACTTTGTTCCTTTACAAATTTTAGCAATTGAGATACCATTCCCCTTTGTATTCTTAACAGCCTTCCTCTTTGGATGGATACATGTGGATACTATTTGAAGTCAAAACCTTAATCAAGAAATTATGTCTGATCCAAAAGATAACTTGAGCAAGTAAACTCTTGAACAGTTGACAGAGAGCAGTTAATGATTCAGATCATTAAATGGGCTTCTTTTTGAGTTTTTTTT